ATATTTGAAACTACTTAAAAATATTTAAAAAAGACATGCACATAGTTTGAGGAAATAGCTTGAAGTATTTTAAAATTATAATAAAATGAAAATATGCATATGATAAAAAGCATTTTATTTGAAAGTTTAAAGCAAAAAAATATAACATCGTAAATTTACACTTATATGGCTTATCTGAGCATCCTATATACATGCGGCGCATGTGCGATTGAAGTCATGAGGCAAACGCAGGCCTCGATACCGATGATTTCTGTTCTTCATATGATTATTTTATCTCTTATCATTTAAGAGAAATATGCATTGTTACAACTAATCTCCGTTACAACCGTCCTCATGCAATCTCCGGTCCTATTTTTATGAGACTGTTATTGTTTTTTAACAATATTGTAATTAAATTTATCTTTTTTTTATATTTAATAAAATTATATTTAATAAACTTTATATAGATACATTTAATGAAGTATTTTGTAATGATGCTTTCCCTTTTTTGCATGAAATATGTAAGAAACAATTGCCCAGTAAATAAGAATGGATTGAAATGGATTGAAATAAATTCAGATTTTCAGAAATATGTATTCGGTGCTCAGTGCTCAATGCATTTTTATTCATTTATATGAATAATTGCAATGAAGCACATTTTTACTTCTTTTAATCTAAAAATATCAGCTTTTTCAGTACATCGTGAATATTGTCCAATCGTGAATATTGTCAAAATTATGAATAGGAAAAGCAATTTTTTAATTCAATTGAATCCAGTTAAATCCAATTGAATAAAAAAAAATTTTCTTATTTAATTGGATTTAATTGAATACGCATAAAAATTTTAATTTTAATCCATTTTAAAACAAGGACAAATGGATGCTTATAAGCACAAAACGGAATGCATCTCATATCCTATGCTAGATGTTACACGTATTTAATTAAAAAAATTATTGTATTCAATAAAATTTATTTTTTGTAGAATGAATAATGTGCATATAATACAAAATGTATGTCACATTATATATATAATTTTTAATTCATTATTATTTGCTTTCTTTTTATCTTAGAAAATATTTAGTCTTATTTTTATATTTTTATTAGATTATTTTTATATTTAAGATAATCACACT